TGGTGCCAAGGAACGGGGAGTTGAAAGTAGAGGAAACCACGAGATCCCTCTGGTAAAGGAACCTCGGTGTCAGAGAGGATAGCGTCATTATGGATGATAACACGGACAGTATTGATGCAGGTGGAGTACTCGTTGGTACCAATGTGTGCTGCGGTGCAGAGATGTTCACAGCACCATCAGACGTTGCAACAGTACCAATGTCTACTGTGGCTAATGGATGCAGTGCCTTGTGGGTCAATGTCTGCATCAATGCGTCCACACACTGACTGTTCAGTACCACGCTGGGCCCTGCGCTACATGAGGCAAGTACAGTCAAGCCTGTAGCCTTGGTTTTGTACGCACCATGTTTGGAAGCACCGCGATCAGTGTTAATGATGCCGGGCACATCGTATGTGTTGAGGGGCAGTGCCATTTCAACCCTCGGTGCCAATTTCTCACTTGTATGCTGTATGGGTGGCTGAGCCCTATGAGGCAGAGCGGAGGCACGTTTCTTAGGGAATTTTTTCCCTTTGTCAGATCTTGGTTTTTCAGGATGCTCAGTGCCTGGGTCAGAGGATGAGTGCTGTGCTTTTTCCAGCATAATCACTTTAACACAGAGGTCCCTGTGTCTGCACATTCACACCTTTAGCCTGGCACAATCGTGGCAGTCCTACTGGACATGGGAGCCTCCTAAACATTGAACACATTTGGAATGCCTGTCAGAGGTGGGCATGGCGTCATTGCAGCAGCATTTAAAACCTGGTGACCCAGGCATTGTTCCCTGACTGGAAAACAAATGAGGGAAAACAACTTGAGGTAGGAAAGGTGGGGGGGTTTTTTTGGTCGTCCTTTTTTGATGGGGAACGAACTTGGAAACATAGGGTAAATGGAGAATAAATAACCAAAAATGAACTACTTATTTACGAGATATAACGACAAGTGAAGAGCACTGCTGAGCTCCGTCATAAGTCAGGGATGGTAAGAAGGAACTGAGGGGAGGAGGGCTGTGCATGCACAGTCATGCTTGCTGTGCAATGTGTGGCTCCACAGGCACTACTCTGAAAACTCCCGTCCGCAGTGCTGGGAAGCACCAACACCTGCTGTGGAGCACCCACAGGAAACAACTCTCAAAGAAGAGCTAATCTTATTTCTAGGTAGGTTAGATAGTGCATAATTGAATAGTCGTGTAGCCAATCAAATTATAGTGGTTACACGACTATTCAATAGTCCTCGGGGGTAGGGCCAGCAGCCAGTGCACTCCCAGCCCCGCTCCAGGGAGCTTGCTGCCATCCTACATTGCTGCCTCTCTAGCAAAGGCAGAAGTGCAGGTAGGCAGGTGAGAGCCGATCTGCAAGGGGAGCTGGTCTAAAAACTGGCTTCCTGCACAGACCAGCTCCCGCCTGCCACCTCTGATACTGAGGCAGCAACACGAGGTGGTGGCAGCCCCTGTCCATGGTGGGTCCAAGCCCAGGCCTGCTCTGCGGTAGCCTCCCCGGATTGACAGAGGCAGCAGCACTGGAGGGCGGGAGGGGATAGGCGGCACTGCTGAGCCAGTGCTCAAGGGAGCTGGCTTTAAAAGCCAGTTCCTCCCCTCCACTGGCACCTGCCTCTCCTACCCTCCCCCCACTGCCTCTGCAGGAGGCAGCAAGAGGGAAGGAGATGTGTCCATGGAGCTTAAAAACCAGCTACCTGCATGTATCGGCTCCTGCCTGTCCCCCCTCACCCTCTGTGCTGCTGCCTCTCTATCAAAGGCAGCTGCACAGAGGTGGGCAGATTCGATGCTCATGGACACAGGCTACCGGCTTCCAACTCCCCTGCCATCCCTACCGCCCCGCCTCTGATACAGAGTCAGGAAGGGGACAGGGAAGCATGTGTAGTCAACAGGATTAATTGATAAGCCCAAGCTTATCAGTTAATCATGTAGTTGTCTACACATTGATATCCCTACTTATTTCTTAATATTTCAGTATGAATTTCCTTAACAGTTATAAATACAGCTCCATTTATATGATTAAAAATACCATCAGAGAAACCCCACTGAGATGCCATGATTAAAAGTACCACTGAGAAAACACCACATTTCAGTATAAAAATCTGCATTCTGTTCCTGAACTAATAGAATTCTTTTTAACAGAGGGCTCTGTTATGAGGTATGGTCACAGAAGACCCCCTGAAGATGCTTCCCGGTGTGCTGACAAAGCCCTGTTGCTCTCTGAGGCTTCTTTCAGCCCTGTCCTGCTGGGCTATATCTCCTGGTCTCCCCAGCCAAGGCACAGAGCTGAGAGCACTGAACCTCTTCAGGTCTGAGAATGCAGTTTTGGGCACAGCTTTCGGGAAAACTCATGCCCCAAATGGGATCAGAACCCTAAATAAATCATTCAGGTAAGCCCCCTTTAACAAGAAAGCCCTCCTTTCATGACAGCTCACCAGGTAACAATTATTTACACTGGGCTTGAAGAGAAGAGATTTTAATTAAGTACAAATAGTGGGATTTAAGTGGTTGCAAGTGAATGCAGGCAGAGCAAAGTAGATTACAAATTTTAAGTTACAAGAAAAATGCATAGCTACTTATAAACACTAAAAGCTCAATGCAAACTTACCCTAAAACTGTTCTTATTTCAGGTAACCCCTCAAAGCAAGGAGTGGCAGGCTGGCCAAAGACAAAGACTGAATTTTCTTTTGTCTTAAATAGCCTCTCTTTTAGGTGGGAATTCTTTCTTTTTACATTCCACCCTCTATGGACAATTACCCAGTCAGACCCTACCAGCTGTGGTCATGTCTTCCTCAGACCAACCACTGCTTAGACTTAAAGGACCAAAGAGGCTTTTTACAGGCGATCATCCAGACATTGAGGGAAACACCTTTGATGGCTTTCATTTGCACAGTTAAAAACATAAACCATTCAATACTCCATATTTCTAACTTTACATACAAGAATGATATATACACCAAAATAAGATATACAGTGCTAGCAGATTGTGACATAAAAACAGATAGGTTACATGAGGTATTTTGTCCAAAGCATCTCTGAATTATGCATTATTTGTATCCGTAAGACAATTTCATAAAGCGGGGCGGGGGCGCGGGGCAGAAGAGAACCATGACAGGCTCTATAAAGATAGATGGACAAATCTAAAGTCAAATAAGTTTGACAATCTGACAATTTTTTTAATGCTTCAGGGGGTAGCCGAGTTAGTCTGTACAGGTAAACTGAAAAAACCACAAATAGTCTGGTAGCACTTTATAGACTAACCAAACATGTAGATGGTATAATGAGCTTTTGTGGGCACAACACACTTCTTCAGATGACCAGAGCGCCGGATGTCTAGGACCAAAATAAATAGGGGAGACTGGAGGGCCGGGGGGGCAGTGTGAAACTGGGAGGGAGGGGAACAAGAAAAAGCAGTGGGTAAAAAATATACCAAGGAAAAGTTGAGGCTCATTCAATTGCACATCCAGTAATTTAATCTATGCCATCAATTGCCAGCAATGCCCCACTGCAATATATACTGGACAGACTGGACAGTCCCTACGTGAAGAATTAATGGACACAAATCAGATATCCGTAAAGGGAACATACAAAAGCCTGTGAGGGCACACTTTAATCTCCCTGGGCATGCATTAACAGATCTTCACATGGCTGTTTTGTTACAAACCTATTACAGGAGCCAAATACACAGGGCAGGACTGGAGCTTCAGCTCATTCCCAAATTCAATTCTCACACTTCTGGATTAAAAAGAGATACTGGATGATTAGGTCATTACCTATCAAGCAATGAGGGTGACAATGGTTCTTTGTCTTTGAAGAATCTCATACCATCAGATGTTTCATCAGTCTTTAAGTGTTTCCTGACTCTTTGTTGTTTGCTAATTAATGGTTCTTATCTGCTCCCTTTGACTACCTAGTCTTTAGGTGCTAATATACTTGGCTTTCCCTTGATATATTTTTTACCCACTGCCTTTTTTGTTCTCCACACTAATGGAAGTGAGTCAGAGTTTTTTTTATTCACTCTGCCTTCAGTTATATCAATTCAGTGAAAAAATTATGATTTCCCTGTAACATGCTATTCAAGTTATTAGTAATATAGATTTGCTTCATGTCTCTAGTCTAGATAGAGATAGCACAAACTACACTCCCCTCTGCTTGCAAGGCCAGCTATGCTAACAATTTTAGCCTGTAGACAGGACAGAATGTTGTACATTCTGACATTCTTTCAGGGAAGAGGAGCTTTAAAACTTCAGCCAGGACTCCACAAGAGTTCTGCCAGTAGAGGATCCCAGTTACTGAGGACTATGGGCAGAATAATGCATCTATCTCCAGACCTATGTGCTTTCTGGGTAAAGCTTACTGGTTTCAGGCTCAACAGCGGTACTGGGAAGATCCTGCACTGTTGTACACTGTCTGGTCTGTAGTTAAAGAGGGGAAGAGAAGAAAGGGAATCATTCCACCTATTCCACTTGTTCTCATCCATTAAAAGGAAATTCACTTAGGTCAAATTTCATTTTCTCAAATTAAAATGGTTTAGCTTAATTTTTAACTTTTGGGGACTTATATACTACACCACAACAATTACTCCAAACTGGAAGCAGGCTTACCAATCATGGAGTAAGCAAGTCTTCAGTTTTAATGTGCTGTGTACTGTTACAAATATTTTTCAAATACTTTTTAATGGATTAGGAAGACTAAAATTATGTTTTGTTCATCTTCTCTATTGCTATTCCCAGAAAAGCTCTTTATTTTTTTTAAAAAGACATTGAGTTTTGGAACATAGCTTCCTTAAGACTGCATAGCATCATGAGCAGGGTGTATCATAATCCCTCTTCCCTAGGAGTTGGGCGGACTGTCCCTACAGTACTGAAGAGTAACAGGTCAAGACTGGTCATATGTTCTTAAGATGCTAATGAACAGCAATGCCTTTCACTACCATCAGACCACCAAACTATTTCAATTAGCATATTCAAGTTAGATATGTACTACTTATCGCAGATTAACAATTAGCTGAAAGTAACAATGTACTTACTTGAAAAATGCAATAAGGAGATTAACCATAATAATGTACTGTACAAAGAGGTAGACAGCTTGAAGAAATGGGGTCAGCCATGTTCCAGGTCCACATAGATCGCGAAGCTCTGTATTATTTGCACATACTTTGGTGATAAAACACAGAGACCATATTTTCTTTTAGAGACAGGATTTTTAATACTTACACCAGATACAATTCTTTCAGTATCTATTCAGTAAAGATTGTACAATAACTAATTATGTGCATCTATACTGTAATTTGTTCTTTTAAAAAAAATATGGGGAACAGTTGATAAAAGTTACAAAAGAGGAAGGCATCCTGTAGTTACTGAATGGCCTTTATCAGTTAAGTAAAATGCTTTTCCAGCTCACAGCAACAAAATCTTGGCTGTGTGGGATAAACACCTGGAACAGCTCTAAGCTTAACCTAAAGGGAAGGTACTTCTTCTGACCCATTAACAAAACTTCTCATTCTAGGTCATGTTTAAGCTTTTATTCAGCCTATGTATGACAAAGGGCTCCCTACATTTGGACATATGTAAATTAAATAGGTATACCTTAAGAATAAAAGGTAAACAATTAAGAATGTAAAATCCAATTTAATTAGTTAACCAATTAAATGTTAAGTTTAACTGGTTAACTGATTAAACGGGGGAGAATAGAGAGGCCACTCGAACATGGCTGGGCTGCAGCGGCCTTCCACCCAACACAGAGGTGCTAGAGAGGCTCCCACCTGTCTGGAGTGCTGCCTGCCCATAGCAGGTGAGGGGCTGCTCCAGCCCCCACCGGTTAACAATTAACATCCCTAAATCCAGTACAACTTCAACACACCTCACTATCAGCATTTGGAGGGGGGGGAGCAAAAAAAATAATCCTTGAGCATTTTCATAAATTGTTCAAAAACTGCATCATCTTACCATCAATTTCATATGCATAAACTTCACCAAAAATCATCCAGTATGGATGAAACACAATATCTCTAGCAAGAGTCCAAGATGGTTCTTCATTAGGATAGAGTATTGCCTTCCTGGGAACCCCAAAACTAAGCAGTACAAGTGCCATAATCACCACAATGTAGAACATGTTGGCCACCTGTTAAAAAAAGTTCAAATTAAGAAAACTCAAAAAGGCCACAGAATATAAGCTTTAGTAATGTTTCAAAACACTAGTGTAATTACTTTATCTCTAAAATGTATCCTATTTAATTGTGTTTTTAAATACAAGAGTGTACAAGTGAGTGCATGAGCACAAATAACATCTACTCAGAGCTCGTTGATAAATTGAGGATAAGGATTTATCATGCTTATTCCTTAAACTAGAAATCATAAAACAAAATTAGTTTTGCAGAACTTTGACATGCTATTTTAATTCTTTTTATGTTTAAAGTATTAACCAGCACTGAAGTATACTCAGCTTCTTTCCAACTAAAGCAAGCTTTTATAGCAGCAATTTCTAGTACAAACTTAAAGAATGTTGTGTATCTTGACATTTTAAGCAGTTTTTGAGCGATTTATAATTAGGTAAGAGCATTCAGCCAGCTAAAATTCAGCACAAGATCCTAAACCTTCATCTTCAGTTTTTCCTCCCACAGTTTTCCCAAGCTCATGAGTGACACAGAAATACAACCAGGTCTCATGCAATATATTGCAGAGCAACAAGTAGTTTATTTTTTCTTGGAGGGCGTGTTGGAAGTGGGGGAACTACGAAATACAAACTTTGGGAAAGCCATTTTTAAGGAAGAATGCAAATGTTTTTTTTAACCTCAAACTCATTTGGTTAAGCCGTATACCAGTGTATAGAACTTACTCCTCTGGTTCTTATTCTCTGTCATCCGTCAGTTCATATATTTTACAGAAAGATTATTTTATTTCCATTATTCACTATGAAAATGTGATGTAGATTATTTTCATAACTCCTAATAATTTGTGTAAGTTCCCAATGGTATAGAAGAGGGAATGTACTGAAAAATTCAGCTTATGCTGTCTGACCAGGAGAAAGGAAACCTACTTTGAGATGTGATTATTTGAAGAATCTTCTTATACACAGTTAATTAATTATATTTGAGATTATGAACTCTTTGTATATTTATTTTTATCAAGTTGCAAACTGTTTGGAGTGTAAGGCTCTATCTTTACCTTCCTGCGACCCATTTTATTTCAGTCTTGGAAAATATTCCAAGGAGTGGTGGCAAAAGGCTAACAATGTAAGAATGTTAAACTTGGATGATTATCCACTTAAATGGAGCACCTCGGAGACAAAGAGAAGGCTACTATCCAAATCTGAACTTGACAGGCTGATAAGTAATAGTGACACAGGTTTCTAAACAGCTGATGAATCACCTGACAAGGGCTTTGGAGGCTATAAAAGAAAGGATCTTGCATCAGTCATTTGAGAGAGAGAGAGAACAAACAACAAAGAATGAACAGGAAGGTACTCGCTTTGTGAGTTTCCGTTTCTGACCTAATTTTTCAGAGAAGCTATGAGAAGCAGCAGAAATCCAGGACTTGTTAGAGGACTCTTACTTAAAAGCACTCAAGAACAACGAGAAAATTATGCAGGGAAATGTATACAGGTATTTTATGGTTTTATCTAGATCTGTATATTTCTTCTGCTAGCTAAAGAAAAGAGATTGTTTTTTGGAAAACCTCATGAAGCCTATCTACCTGTTTGTTTCCTCTATCACATGCTCCTTGAAGAGCTGATATATAAACCAGAGTGTACATTAGGATGGGGCTCTAGGAAAAGGTGTATTTAAGATACCGAAGAGTCTTAAGCAATCAGCACTAGTTCTGAGAGCATAGGACAGCTGGACTGCAGGATCCCATTTCTGTGAAGGTGTAACAGAGAGTGTTTGTATCCAGGAAGTGTGACAAAGCAGTCTAGGAAAGACTATACCAAAGACTACCAAGAGCAAAGAAGAATAAGGAGCATAGTGATCCAGTGTGGTGGGCCTCAAATATAGCATTGGCTGTGTGTGACAAGACATATAATTACATCTGAAGTGCTGTAACATCATTCCGACAGATGAGACCTCCCTGGCCCAGCACCCTCAGGACCTGAGTGGTCCTGAACCACAGAGTTTGCCAGACCAGGGGAGGTTGACGCTCCTCATCCTGCTGCAGGGTCTGCTCCTGGCTAGGGCTGCACTCCTAACCACTGGCCCCACTGCACTCCAGCCGTGGCCAGGAGCTGCACTTCTGAACCTGGACAGCCAGGGCTCTCTGGTCTGGCAACATCCATGGTATGGTAGGACCACGCAAGTTGCTGGACCCGAATCCTGGATGTTAGAGGTTCCACCTGTACCACCATTTGTCCCTTTCCAACTATTTTCTGGATTATACTCCCCCGTGCTATAGAAATGTGGCCAGGGACATAATCAGGTTAAAATTGCAACATTACCTAAAACAGCTGAGCATTCAAAGGTGGAGAATTTTGGAACACCTTACAATACCTCCCAAGAAAATTGCTACTTTAGGGAAGAAAGGTTTTAGACACTTTTTCACACAACAGAACTCATGAAAGAGTATTAGCTCTTGTAACAGGAAACTGGAAATATGAAAGCATACAGAACATATTAAGAGACACTGCCCATTGATAGTTTGTGAATATAATTTAAATCTTTTGATTCCATGAAGTGTCTATTATTCCTTAAATACAAAAAAAAAAAAAAATCAGTAAAAGAGTTAACAATAAAGCAGAAATTTCTACACTGCGATACAACCACCTTGCCCTTCCCATATTGATAAGTGCATGGGAGTTCCTGCATGGAAAAAGAAATACTGCATTCAACGGTGTAGAGAATATAGACTTCACAGAACCCTTCTCCCCCCCCAAAATAAGAGTAATATTATCTCAACCCTACAAAAGAATGTAGATGGAAAGCTATGCTGCCTTTTTTTAAATTCAAAGCTCTGACACATACAATAGTGATTTTGGAGCTGAGCAGAGCGGGAATTTTTCAGCTCAGAGATATTTGTGAAAGAACAATTATGGCAGCCTATTCAACAAAATGGATTTTCTGTGCATCAGAAGGGCAGATATCACAGGCTTTAACCAAATGTTTGGGAAGCCCCTCTCACCAGCCACTGTTCTGAGGATCCACAAACAGAAATTATATCCTAACTAACACATTTGCACATTTTGATTTATGGAAAATTACCTCTATATAACATAGTCCAACACTTACCATTTTGCCAATCATCATGACGTAAGGGCCAGCCTGTTGATTTACAGCTAGGAAATCCAGTAATCTTACATACCAAAATATAATATTTAGACAGTACGTTATTCTTCCAACAACAAAAATGTTAGTTTCTCTCTTAGTTGTATCAGTCAAGTTCTCTTTTGCTCCAAATCTTAGTGCAAACCCAATGAAGAAAGTAACAATGGCAATTGTATCACTGACATTGAAATAGTCACTGAACCATACTTTAATCTTCTGGTTAATTTTCCCAGCTTCTGACATAAAGATCTACATTAAGAAGAGAAAAAAAGTCAGGTATTAGCATATTTCTCATTTCAAGACCATTGAACCACCTGATCATTTTATCAGTGAACAAAATTAATCAGTACAGGCAGTCCCCGGGTTA